CCCCTCCAGCTGCACCACTTGCTGCTGCTGCTGCTGCAGCTCCAGCTTGGTCACCCGCGTCAGGCAGGACTCCACCGCCTCCTGCGAGGGACAGCGCGTCAGGACGTGGGGCCAGCGGCTCCAGGATGGCCCCACCAGGGCTTTTGGTGCTCGCCCCGTGCTTTGAGACCTTGCTGCTGCAAAGCTGGGCTTGCATAGCTCCAGTGGGTGCCAACCTTGCGATGGTGACCCTGGGCTCTGCAAACCCACGCGATACTCAAGGCATGCACCATCCCACACTGTGCTGGGCAAGGTCTCGGTGCTGGGAGTACCTACTGCAGCAGGGGACGTGACCCAAACTGGGACAGTGGGGATTTTGTGTTGGCCCACACGTGGCTCGTAACAGCCCAGCACCGCAGCCATGCACCCAGGGCTGTCAGCACAGCTAGGGCACAGACACCGTTTTTGGGGACATGGCTTAGCTACCTGCTTCTTCTTGTGACAACACCACCACGAGGACCTCGTCTGGAGGGTGCCAAAAAAAGGGATCGATCCTCCCTTGTCCTCCCCCTTTCCTGGCCCTGGGTCCTTCCCTTGCCCCATGGATGGAGGCTGCAGCGGGGGGCTGAGCCCTGGCGCTCCCCTACCTGGATGTCCCGTGCCCTCTCGTAGGACTGGTAGGCCACCTTCTCCTCCATGCTGGCCAGCTCCTGCTTCAGGTTGGTCATTTCATTCTGGTGCAGCTCGGTCAGGTCGTTCAGCTGCTCCTCCAGGCGCTCGTACCTGTGCATGGGGGGTGGAGGGGCACTGGGGTGGACAGGACCCCCACAGACCCCAATGACCTCCTTCCCCTGACACTGGGGAAACCGCCCAGCCCCTCCAACCCACCCTGCTCCTGGCTGTAGCTGGTCCTGGCTGATGAAGGGAAGGCATTGCATGATCCTCCGTGGGAGCAGAGCTGCAGCTCCCCATGTCCCTGGCATGCAGGGCTCAGCTGGACAAGCCCAGGATGGTGGCCTCGTGGTGCCCAAGAAGCCACCCTGGCACCCACCCGTCCCTACCTGTACCGTTCCTCTTGCAAGCACTGCGTCATGTAGGTGTAATCCCGCTGCAGCTGGGCCTTGAGGTCCTCCATGGAGTCCTCCAGGTGCGACTGGCTGTCCTTGATCTCCCGGAGCTCCTCCAGGATGGTGTCAAAGTTATTGTGGTGGCTGTCCAGCGTGTTGGACTTGGGGCTCCCCAAGCCGCCGGGTCCTGCCCCCCAGGTGCTGCCCCCACGGGGGACCCGGGC